CAAGCAAGGCCTCATGCTCTGGATTGCTTGGAGAGAAAGTTTGAGGGTGGGTTTACCATTAGTTGCCCACCAGAGCTTTCCTGGGTAGATAAGAAGGTCTGTTTTGGAGAAGTTTAACCATAGGTCATCTGGGTGATCTGAACAGATTTGAACTGCAGGTAAGCACAGGGCAGGGACCTTGGTACTTCGTAGGGGGGCGGGGAGGGAGGGAGGGAGACAGAGAGAGAGAGAGAGTGTGTGTGTGTGTGTATGCGTGTATACAGCTTTCCCCCTTGCACAGCCTAGTACTACTAGGAAGTAACAGTCAGTGCTTGTGTATTGCTTTCATATGGAGTGGAGTTGTAGCTCATATGGAGTCAAGTTTTAAAGTCAGCCTGGGAGGCAAATGTTGCCTGTGATCAAAATTATCCTAGGAAATTCTTTAGGAAGGTGCAAAGTTGGTGATTGCCATCCTGTTTCTCAATAAATCCAGCACAGTGTTTTGTTCAGCTTTGAGACTGGTTACTGTTTCTTTGGTTGAAACCCAGATAAAATAGTTAAGTTACATTTAGAGACTGTGTTGTACAAATACATATATTTCAGTGGCTATTTTCTCTGTCTTTTTTAGCTAACATATCCAGTAATTGGACTTGCTAAGTTAAATGTGCATAGTGTGATTCCTCGTCAATGTTTGAGTAATATTACCTTTAGGGGCTGGCAAGCTATTGTTGGAGCCCTGGTGGTGCAGTGTTTAAGAGCTCAGCTGCTAACCAGAAGGTCCGGCAGTTTGAATCCACCAGCTGCTCCTTGGAAACCCTGTGGGGGCAGTTCTACTCTGTCCTATAGGGTTGCTATTAGTCGGAGTAGACTTGATGGCAATGGTTTTTTTTTAAGCTATTGTTTATTTCCCCACAAACTTCCTAGATAAGGATTTGGTGCAAGAATGTCTTACATATTTTTTGCTAGTGGTCTTTCTTGTGCATTCTCCATTTGTCAGATACATATAACAGTGGTTAGCTTTTCAAAAGCAAATTCTTTTGGAAATAGAAATGATAACTGCCTTTTAAAATGAATGTCTCTGAATTTCAGTTTTCTTATCTATAAAATAGAGAGGAAGATAACACACTGTACAAGATTGTTGTGAGGATTAACAGAGATGATACCAGATATTGGTGGGCTGTTGGAGAATGTAACTAATTTTAACAGGAACATTAGGAAGACTCTGAGTGACTTTTTGTTATTGTTGATAACAGAGGCCACACACTGTGCCCTATGAGTCAGATTTGACCTCTAGATGCATTTTGTTTGACCTGCAGTTTTTGTGTAAAAAAAATTAGTTGCCAACATTTGAAAGTTGGCAGATTACACATAAAAAGTCCGATTTCTCTCTTTCCTTAGAGAATTGGAAGATCAGACAATGGTCCACATTTCTGCAGTTCACCATAGTTCCTCCTTAGCCTGCTTCACTCACTTGTAATACTTGCCTGGCTCCTTTATGCATTTGAAATGTAAGTTTTGATACTGTCTTTTTAAATTAATGTCTCTGAATTTCAGTTTTTTTTTTTTTTTCCCTGTAAAATAGTGAGGAAGATAACACTCTGCAAGGTTAGGATTTTTCTCCTTCAGTATTATTTTGAAGCAAACCTGCCATTTCATATCACCTGTAAATATTTTAGCATTATTTCCAAAAGTTAGACTCTTAAAAAAAGACATAACTGTAGTATATTATAGCATTAAAAAAGAAGCAAGCAACAACAAAGAAAACAAAAAAACACCCGCCCCCCCAAAAAAAACAAAAAAAAACAGCCAGTCATTGTTTAAACTTCTAAATGTTTCATAAATGTTATTTTTTGGGAAATGGGGTGACAGCTTTTTTAATGCAAGATATAAATAAGGCCCACACATTTTTTTTCCCTGAACATTTTATTGTGGTTTGAATGAAAGTTTTACAAAGCAATAAGTTTCCTATTCAACAATTTATACACATTGTTTCGTTAATTAGTTGCAATCCCCTCAATGTGGCAGCACTGTACCCACTTCCTCCCTGGGTTCCCCGTTTCCATTAGCCCATCTTTCCTGCCCCTTCTTGGCTTCTGAACTTTGTTTTTGGTCAGTATTGTTGGTTGTTCTGAGGAGCATGTTCCTCATGGGTGTTATTGTTCACTTTATAGGCCTGTCGGTTGTTTGGCTGAAAGGTGATCTCCAGGAGTGGGTTCAGTTCTATGTTGCAAGAGGCTAAGGGCCATAGTCACCAGTCTCTATCAGACCAGTAAGTCTGGTCTTTTTTATGAATTTGAGTTTTGTTCTACATTTTTCTTAAACTCTGTCCAGGACCTTCTATTGTGACCCCGATCAGAGTAGTTGGTAGTGATAGCCGGGCACCATCTAGTTCTTCTGGTCTCAGGCTAGTGGAGGCTGCAGTTCCTGTGGTCCGTTAGTCCTTCCTTTGGACTAATCGTCTCCTTGAATCTTTTGTTTTCTTTATACTGCTTTGGGATGGGTCGCTCATAAGCTTTAAAGACCTCAGTTGCTACTCACCAAGGTAGAATGTAGAACATTGTCTTTATGGACTACGTTATGCCGATTGACCTAGATGTGACACCCGAGACTATGGTCGTAAGCCCTCAGGCCCAGTGACTCAGTCCCTCAGGGTGTTTGGTTACGGCTAAGGAGTTTTTGTAACTTTGCCCCCTGTGTGCTCTACTATATACATGGATATCTTGCAGCACATGCAAATACGTATGTAGAATATCTTCTGCCAAACCTATATATGCTTGTGGGTATACTCCCATACGCCATCCCACACCTGTTCAGCTTACATATCTACCTGTGTATCCTCGTAAATTATTGTTTGTTATTATTGTTATTGCAGGATTGTGTATGTAACAGTATTTAGCGTTGTTGCCTTTTACTCTTGTGTACCTCCCAGTGTCTTCCTTTGCCTTGGTCATGTTGTGCTGACACCCCGCTTATTGTGTATTGCCTTTTCCTTCAGCTAAGTTAATATGTGTCTACTATCTAGTTAATGATTTTTCCTGCTTCCCGCTCTCATCTCAGGCCTACACATTTTAATTGGCTAATATGGCTCCTAAGAGACTTTTACTTTTATTTCCTGCAGTTTCTTTGTTGAGGAATCTGGTTGTTCTCATAGTCTGGATTTTGCTGATTGCATGTCTGTGGTGTCATTTAACACCTTTCTGGTTTTTTTTTTTCTTTAATTTCCTGTAAATTGGTAGTTAAATATAGAGGCTTGATCAGATTCAAAGTAAACTTTTCTTTTTGGCAAGACAGTTTCATAGGTAGTGGTGTGCTGTATCAGGAGGCACATATCTGGTTCTCTTTTTGTGATAATTACAGCTATTGTTACGTTAACAACTTTATCTAGGTATAATTTACATTACTATACAGTTCATCCATTTTAATACACAGTTCAGTGATTTTTAGTAAATTTACTGAGTTGTGCAGCCATCACCATAATTCAGTTTGGGAACAATTCCATCACCCTGATAAGATACCTTGTGCCTGTTTACAGTTAATCCCCTTCTACCCCTAGCCAACCACAGTCTAGTCTTCTTTCTGTCTTTATAGATTTGCTTTTGTGGATATTTCATATAAATGCCATTATGATTACTGCCCAAATCTGTAAATTAATTTGGGGTTCCAATATGGTGATAATCTAATTCTGTCATTCCATATTCATTTGTTAGCTGTAACAACTTTGTAAAGAGAAACTTTCCCTTAACTGCTGTTTGGTTTTTCATTTGGTTATTCCTGTTTATACAGGAAAGTCAAGATACTAATTTTTAAAAATAATAAGTTGTTTAAGTAGCATTTTCCAACAGTGACCGATTAGATTTATTTTCATGGTAAATTATGTATTCACAGATTGAAATCTATCTGAGGAGTTCCAATATATTGTAGAAATTATCCGTAACGATGTTCATATTGTCTTTTCTTTGGCCAGTGAGAGCATCTTCTAGTTGCTTCCTGAGTTCTTTTGACAGAATCCTAGTAGTCTTATAAAGCTTCTTTGCTGGGGAGTTTGTTTCTAAGAGTTTAGTGTAAATATCTTTTAATTTTGTGTAGCTTGCTCTTTGCTGCATGGAGGCCAAAGGGATTTTTTGCTTAGGTGCCTTTTGTTACTTTTGCTTTTATGGAAACATCTCTCAGAAGCCCAAGAGTGATACTCACTTCCCCTAAAATAGTTTATAGTTGTGTTTAAAATGAGAGTAAAAGAAAGTGCATTTTAAAAAAAAAAAAATTTTTATTGTGCTTTAGGTGAAAGTTTACAGCTCAAGTTAGTTTCTTATACAAAAATTTATACATATATTGTTATGTGACCCTGGTTGCTATCCTTATAATGTGACAGCACACTCCCCGTTTCCACCCTGGATTTCCTTTGTCCATTTAACCAGCTCCTATTCCTTTTTGCCTTCTCATCTTGCCTCCCGACAGGAGCTGCCCATTTAGTCTTGTGTATCTACTTGAACTAAGAAGCATGCTCTTCAGGAGTACTATTATTTTTTGTTTGTTTAACACAAGTATTATTTTATGTTTTATAGTCCAGTTGAATCTTTGTCTGAAGAGTTCGCTTCAGGAATGGTTTTAGTTCTGGGTTAACAGAGGGTCTGGGTACCATGTCTTCTTGTGTTCCTCTAGTGTCAGTCAGACCATTAAGTCTGGTCTTTACGTGAATTTAGGTTCTACGCCCCACTTTTTTCCTGCTCCATCAGGGACTCTGTTGTGTTCCCTGTAATGGCGGTCATTGGTGATAGCCGGGCACCATCTAGTTCTTCTAATCTTAGGCTGATGGAGTCTCTGGTTTCTGTGGCCCTTTCTGTCTCTTGGGCTGATATTTTCCTTGTGTCTTTGGTGTTCTTCATTCCTTTTTGCTCCAGGTGGGTTGGGACCAATTGATGGCTGTTAGATGGCTGCTCGCTAGCTTTTAAGACCCCAGACGCCACTCACCAAAGTGAGATGCAGAACATTTTCTTAATAAACTTTGTTATGCCAATTGACCTAGATGCCCCCAAAACCATGGTCCCCAGACTCCCACCCCTGCTGCTGTGTCCCTCGAAGTGTTTGTTTGTGTTCAGGAAACTCCTTAGCTTTTGGTTTAGTCCAGTAGGACGTGCATTTTTTTCAGTTAGGGAAATAAGGAAGCAAGGTCGCACCAGTTTAAGATTAATGAGCATAGAAATGGTTTTAACCCTTTTGCAGAGAAAAACCTTCAGCATGCTTACAATCTAGAATTCTGATGTCTACATTTTCTTAATTGTGGTCAGATAGTAGAATTTACTCCACATTCAGTCTAGACTTCTGTTCTTTTCTGATTTTATTTGTTCATTGCCTCCAATTCATGCCCATTGTGTACAGAACAATACTAGTCCTTTAGAGTACAGTCATGTGTCACTTAACGTTCATGGTACATTCTGTGAAATAGGACGTTATGTGATTTGGACGTCGTGTGAACACCATATTATATAAGGCAGTCCCTGGGTTACGAATATCCAAGTTATGTACAACCCGTAGTTATGAACCAACCCCCAACCAAAGCCGCCTATATTAAAAATGAAGAACATGCAGTGGTTTGTAATAACAAACTGGTACTACTTAGCAATGTGCATCAAACATTATTATTACTGTATTATGTTAAAGGTATTTTAGTGTCTCTGGAAGTGTTTCTTTAATGTTTTTTATGCATAGAAAGGTACACTATATACTAAGAAAAACATTTGACTAACTGACATTAGGTCTGCTATGTTCCGTTCTCCAGTCAGGATCTCTGAACTCTATTATAACCTTATGGGACCACTGATGTATATATGGTCAGATGTTGCCTGAACAGATGTTATGTGGCACAAGGCTGTATTGAAAACAAGAAGAAATGGATACTGCCTTTAAGAATCCATTTCACCTGTATTTGTTGGAGAGATACCACACAGTCTACTTAGATTTAACAGCTGTAATTTCAGAGAAGCATTTGTACAAGTGCAGGACACTGAAAAAATGGAATCTTCAAGGGTTGCTGACAAACCAATGGGTTGGTTTCTCAGAAGTTTCTCAGAGAAATGATGACATGAGATTGCCAATTTTGTTTTGTTCTAGATGCTCATTTTTGCATCTGCCTATCTTGAAGGTAAAAAGCAAAGATTTTCCTTGCTTTGTTCTTTGGAAATCACTCACATTCATTTTGCCATTTCTAGGAATATTCCCCTGAGTATATGTACTGGGTTCCCGTATTGTGTTGAGGATCATTGCCGTGGGGTTGTCTTATAGGTAAACACCCTTATGATAAGCTCTCTTTGCTTTTTTATAATTAAGCCTCTTATGTTGAGTTTGCCATAATAACAACATTACTCTGAGGCCTTACTATATTGAATTTCATCTTGCAGAATACTTTACTCTCCCCTATTTCCTCTCGGAAGATATACCATAAAGCATTTTGTTCCTGGTTGAGTTATTTATATCTACCATCTTCTCTATTTGTATTGCTGAATTGCTGTTTAGTTGCTTTACAACATTATATGTTTAAAAGTGGACACTGATAACTCAAATTCTAATTTTCATTGTGGTTTTTAAAGATTCTGATTAGCAAATGGGTTTGGTTTTTAACCATTTAAATCCTTCACTTCATGATTTATTTGCATAAATCTGAAGAGGCACGATATTAAGTTAGTTAGCTTCTAATTGTATTTACCTTTTGAAGTGTAGGGGAAAAAATTTCCATTTTGGGTGGTTGGGGGGGCCCCATCCCCATATTCATCATATGGGTTTAAGGACTTTAATGTGAGAGTTCAGGTCCACATTCTTTCAGGCTTTCAGCTATCCCATGTACATTTAAAATGGTTAAAATGATTCTTTTAGAAATGTTTCTAAGATTTGGTCTCCCTGCAAAGTGAGGTGAAAGTCACAGATAAGGGCATGTTTGTGGTCCTTATATAGGGGACTGTTTTGGTCTTTAGGGTAGCCTGGAGAGGGCTGGAAAACTGGGTTAGGGTAGTGGTTTCACTTCTATGCGAAAGAGCAGCTTAGGCAAAAGTCGTTAATTTCAGTTTCTTCAGGTTAAAGAACTGTGTGTGTGTGTCTTGACAAAGCATATTTTCCCGTCATATAAAATGGAGAATAAATATAATGGTTTTATTGTTTTAGTTTAAACTAAAGAAGTGATGGTAAAATACTGTTTTGATGTCTTTGTTTTGTTGACGTCTTATGCCAGTGTGTAAACTTAAGTGATTTCAAAATATGTTTTTCAATCCAGAGCAGATCAAGCATTGTCTGGCTTGTCCTCTAACAGAGTCAGCGGAACGCAGCTTCTCAGGTTTCTTCAGGATGCCTGCAGCACTTGTGGAGAACAGCCAGGTTATCTGTGAAGTCTGGGCCAGCAATCTAGAAGAAGAGATGAGGAAGATCCGAGAAATAGTGCTCAGTTACAGTTATATTGCCATGGTAAAGAGCTCTGCTCTGTTTGACTCACCTGCTGGTATGGGCCTAGGAAATGAGTTTCATGTGAGATTTTCAAAAGAAATAAGTATATTACATTAAAGTCATGATAAACTAAACTTCATGAAAGATTGCTTTACTTTTGTGAAATATCAAGGTAGCCAGTATATCTGAGAAGGATGTTACCTTTAGTATCTTGGATTTTTTGTAATGCTGCTCCATGTTCAGAAGTCTTTAAAGCAAGTGTTAATGTTGGCCCACAGGGCACATCTGCCCAACATATTTGGTGACTGTAACAGGATAGTGTTAAAAAAATTTTAAAAATTAGTTGCCAGCATTTAAAAATCAAGAGATCTCACTTAAATTCCAGATTTCTGGCAATATAGGGTCCACATTCCCACCTAGCACCGAGTGGCTGGAGAGGGAGATGAGTGTCGTGGTCATGTCAAGGGCTTCCATTAGATGGAGGCATGTGCTCTCCTTTGCTCCAGTCCCCATCACTTGTTACCATCTTCATATCTAGCCTGCTTTACTCCTTTACCTTAGCTGCCTAGAGTTTGTGACTCCTGCAATAGAGATTATAGAGTGAAGGTTTTAGCCTGGTATTTAGAACTCTCTATGGTCTTATTCTAGTCTTTTTACTCCAAGCTAAACTAGGCTGTTTATGTTTTTTTCTGAATTACTGTTTTACTTTCCTTTACTTGTATTTTTATTCATATATTGTTCTCAACTTAGAATGTTCGTAATTGTTTGTATATCCAACTATCGTTATTCAAACTACTTCTATTCACATCCTGCTTAGGATCTCCAAGTTGTTGTGCCAAGCTTCATGATTCTAGTGCTCCTTCAGTAGATATCAACGAGATCAGTATTTTAAGATAGATTTTGTGCCCAAGCTTGGGGGCTTATCACATAACTTTTATAAATTGAGGTAAAAATTTTGTTTATGAATCATCAATTCAGCATCTATTGCTTTGTGAAACCTTATAATGAAAGACTTTTTCATTTTCCAGGACACAGAATTTCCAGGTGTTGTGGTGCGACCAATTGGTGAATTTCGAAGTTCCATAGATTACCAATATCAACTTCTTCGGTGCAATGTTGACCTTTTAAAAATTATCCAGCTGGGTCTTACATTTACGAATGAGAAGGGAGAATATCCTTCTGGAATCAATACTTGGCAGTTCAACTTCAAATTCAACCTTACGTAAGTGTCTGAGACACTTTGTACAGATTGTGATTTCTAACTGATTTGATTAATTATAAGTTTTGTTTTCACTGACCCCAGGTAGGAGTTGGATGGAGCAGTCAAGCAGAGGATAGAATAGGGAATCTCAGGAGTTAAAGTCTCCCTTTAAGAACATTCTACAACTCAACAATTAAAAGACAAATAACCCAGTTAAAAATGGGCAAAAAATCAGAATAGATATTCTCCGAAAAAGATACACAGATGGCCAATAAACACATGAAAAGATGCTTAACGTTATTAGTCATGAGGAAGATGCCTGTCAAAACCACAGTGAGGTATCACTTTATACCAATCAGGATGGCCTTTGAAAAATAAAGTAAAAACAAAAAAACAGAAAACAAGTGTTGGCAAGAATGTAGAGAAATTGAAACCCTTGTCCATTGCTGGTAGGAATGTAATATAGTGCAGCTACTTTGGAAAATAATTCGATAGTTCCTCAAAATGTTAAACAGAGTTACCAGCAATTCTTGTCTTAAGCATATACCCAAGAGAAATGAAAGCAGTATCTCCACACAAAAATTTGTACATGAATATTCAGAGCATTGTTTATAATAACTAAAAAGTAGAAATAATTCAAATGTCTGTGAACTGAAAAATGGATAAATGTGGTTTATCCATGTAATAGAATTTTATTGAACAATAAAAAGGAGTGAAGCACTGATACATGGTATAACATGGATAAACCTTGAAAACATCCTAAATAAAAGATGCTAGTCACATAGCAACACATATTGTGGGTAATTTCATTTATATAAAATGTACAGAATAAGCAAATCCATAGAGACAGAAAGTAGATTGGTGGTTGTCTAGACCAGGAGGATGCGGGGGTTGTGGGGCATTGTGGAATGATTGTGTAATGGGTATGGTGTTTCTTTTTGGGGTGATGAAGGTGTTCCAAAATTGATTGTGGTAATGGTTGCACAACTCTGAATATACTGAAAACCATTGAATTATAGACTTTAAATGGGTGAATTGTTAGTATCTGAAAAACTCTGTTTAAGAGCCCTGGTGGCTCAATGGTTAAGCACTCGACTGCAAACTAAAAGCTTGGCGGTTCGAACCCACCAGTCCCTCCGTGGGAGGAAGATGTGGCAGTCTGCTTCTCTAAAGATTACAGCCTTGGAAACCCTATGGTGCAGTTCTACTCTGTCTTATAGGGTTGCTGTGAGTCAGAATGGACTTGAAAACTGAGTTTTTGGTTTTAAAGCTGTTTTCTCTTTAAAAAATAGTCAAGTCCCCAGTTGTAGTTAGTAGATCAGGGTTTGTTGAATTGCAGTTTTGCCGTTTCCTAGCTGGGTAATTTGAGTCGTCATTTCACCTCCTGTAATTAATTTCTTTATCTGTAAAACCAGGTTATTGTACCTATTATAATAAACATAAGGTTTAAAGTGGGTGCTAATGAAGGGTCGTTGAATCTGAAGCCTTTCCAATAGTGGACAAATTATGATGTAATTTTTTAAGAGGGAGGTTTTTTTTTTTTTTTTTAATTGTACTTCAGGTGAAGGCTTACAGAACAAATAGTTTCTCATGAAACAGTAGTACACATATTGTTTTATGACATTGGTTAACAACCCCACAACATGTCAACCCTCTAACTTCTCAACCTTTTTTTTTTGGTGAAAATACACATAGCCAAAGATAAACCATTTCAAAAATTTCTACATGCACAGTTCAGTGACATTGACTACGCTCTTCCAATTGTGCTGCTATTCTCACTTAAGATGAAGGCTTACAGAACAAAATAGTTTCTCATTTAACAGTTACTACACATGTTGCCATATGACAATGGTTAACAATCTCACAACACATCAACAATACCCTTACTCAACCTTGGGTTCCCTATCACCAGCTTCCTTGTCCCCTTCTGCCTTCTGGCCCTTGTCACTGGCCTACTGTACCTCATTTGTCCCATTTGGTTTTATGGGGCTGTCCACTCCCAGGCTGAATGGTGAACCTTGGAGATAACTTCACCACTGAGCTAAAAGGGTGTCTGGGGGCCATACTCTCGGGGTTTCTCCAGTCTCCTTTAGGCCAGTAAATCTGGTCTTTTTTTTTGTGAGTTAGACTTATATTCTACATCCTTCTCCAGCTCTGTCCAGAACCCTCTGTTGTGATCCTGGTCAGAGTAGTCGGTGGTAGCCGGGCACCATCTAGCTGTACTGGACTCAGTCCGGTGCAGGCCTTGGTAGCTGTGGTCTATTAGTCCTTTGGACTGATCTTTTCCTTGTATCCTGTTCTCTTCATTCTCCCTTGCTCCCGAAGGGATGAGACCAGCGGAATATCTTAGATGGCCGCTCATAGGCTTTTAAGACCCCAGATAGCACTCACCAAGGTAGAATGTAGAACATTGTCTTTATAAACTGTGTTATGCCAGTTGAGCTAGATGTTCCCCGAGACCATGGTAAGAGGGAAATTTTGAGGAGACTATAATGCTGATTGCAGGAGGTGTGAGTGTATTTATTGGGCTCAGTTCTTTAATACTGCTTTGTTTAACTGGACTTCAGTAGCATCTGGTAGCTCAGGAATAACTTTTTTATTATCTCTCATGGTTCATCAGGTGATGGTAACATTGTTGTCTGCTACTTCTCTTACGTTATCCACTGGCTAATAAGAGAATACCTTGTTTTTTAGAGAGGACATGTACTCCCAGGATTCCATAGATCTCCTTGCTAACTCAGGACTACAGTTCCAGAAACATGAAGAGGAAGGGATTGACACATTGCACTTTGCAGAGCTGCTTATGACATCGGGGGTGGTTCTCTGTGACAACGTCAAATGGCTGTCATTTCACAGGTCAGTCCCAGAGAATGCGTACAGGCCCTCCTGCTCTGGGCCTCACTGGAGCAGGGGATTGAATTCTTCGCTTTTTTTATGGTCCTACTGGCTCTTTTCTGTTGATCAGCAGCATTACTGAGTTGAAATGGTAACTGTCGCTCATGCTTCGGCACTGACACTGATTTGTTTCACACAGCATCAGGGTCTGTGACTGGCTGTTGGGGTGTATATCCAAATGAAAAGATGGAGGGTGGGGACCACGGCAGAATTGGCCCTCTTTTTCTTGCCTTTTAAATGGCTGGCCTGGAGTCTTCCAGATTCCCCATAGGAGACGTTATTTGCCTTGTCAGTACTTTTGAATTTTTGAATAAAACTCATTTATAAACCCTTGAGTTCTCTCTTTTATATCTCTCCTATTTGTTATTTAATAGATACTTCAGATTTCAGTAGGGTAAACTACTTTGGAAGATAAGACTGTGAAAATCCATAACATGAGGCAATATTGTAAGCTTTAAGAAGCAGAGTGGTTGAACGCTGTGGCCTGGTGACTGCTGCTTTTTAACCTTAGTGCCTGATTCTCTCCTCGTAGTGGCTATGACTTTGGCTACATGGTAAAGCTGCTTACAGATTCTCGTTTGCCAGAAGAGGAACATGAATTCTTTCATATTCTGAACCTTTTCTTCCCATCCATTTATGATGTGAAATATCTGATGAAGAGTTGCAAAAATCTTAAGGTATACAATATTATTCCTAATACTAGTAACATAAAAAAAAGAGAGGAAAAAAAACCCCAAAAACAAAAACTTGCCATTTTGCTTTATCACTGTTTGTTCAGCATGCACTTTTAGTGCCTGCTAGGTGCCAACACTGTGCTAGACAGGGTGTAATATGAAGCCGTTTGGCCCAGGGATTTGTGTGGCAACTCTCTTTAACCTGGGCACAAAGGGAGCCCTTTTCTGCTTTCATGCGAAGACAGGCATTCTTCACCTGAGGCCCATGAACCTAGTGAAATAGTGGGCGGTTTGTTAGAGATGGGGTCTACAGTGTACCAGATTCTCACATGGGTTCTTAATTGTAGAAGTTAAGAACCCATTACCCTAATAATTGTTGGTATACGTGGTTTGCTATCTGGAATTTGATTGGAATTTACTATTTCCTCAACCTTGTTTTATAGTACTTTGTGGACTTTAGAGGACAGAGGTCTGACAGAATCAACGTATAGAAAAGAAAGGAACAAAATATGGAATGTAACATAATTTAACATTTGGAGAGAAGAAAAGTTAAGGGCTAGAAAGTGGATACTGCTGGGCTTAAGTAAATGGCCTGTTCCCACTTCTACCATCAAAAGAAGTACACTTAACAGTGGACTTAGTTGACTCCAGTAGAGGAATGTTGAGTCTGTAATACCACTTTGTTTCCTTTTCACCTCCAGGGAGGTCTTCAGGAAGTTGCTGATCAGTTGGATTTGCAGAGGATTGGAAGGCAACACCAGGCAGGCTCAGACTCACTGCTGACGGGAATGGCCTTCTTCAGGATGAAAGAGGTAAGCTCAGTTGAAGCCCAGGGCGTATCTGCAGTAACTTGTGAAGGCTGAGGAAATGAGCTTTATGGGCTGAGGTTTTGAAAATTTATAGTTTCTGTTGGAAGTTGATGGCCACTTCGAAAGCTTTTTTTGTTGTTGTTATGGAGATCAACATATTAAATGCAGTTTGAGAGGCAAAAGCATGCCACCTAGCATGCTCAAGTCTGGAAATATATTTAGTGTTCAAAGGGGCTCTAATCCTTTCAATTATTTGCTTTTCTCCTGATATCTATAGTATGAACACATTTGTTAATAGGTTCACTATGAGTTGGAATAGACTCGACGGCAATGGGTTTGGTTTGGTTTTTCTACTGAATTTACTACAACTCATTAGTGAAAGGACTGAATTTCCTTTTAGTTTCCTTACTCGCCCACTCATTGTTAAAAAATGTAGTTGAAGAGGTAGAGGGAGGGAGAAGCTGCTTTGAAAAATTAACGGATATGTACAGAGGTGGAGCTCCTTTTCAGAGCAAAGAATGTGGCAAAGGGTAATATGTTTTCTGTTTGTTACTCTTAAGCATAAACCACAACTCCTATTATTGCTATGTATGGGGCAATGTTCTAAGTCACTGGTTCTCAGCTGGAAGCAATTTTGCCGCCTCAGGAGACATTGGCAATATCTGGAGACGTCTCTGGTTTTCATGACTGGGGTAGGGGTACTTTTGGCCAAGGATGATGCTAAACAGCCTGCAATACACTGGACAGCCCCCGCGACAAAGCATTATCCCGCCCAGTAGAGCTGAGATCGAGATGCCCTGCTGTAAGTGCTTCGTGTCCTCATCACAACCTTATTAAAATATTAACTCCATTTTATAGGTGGGGCTTAAAGAGAGTTGAAGTAAATTTGTAAAAGGTCACACAATGAGTTAGTCTGAGTCTTGAGCCCAAGCTCTTAGCCATTGCAGCTACCTGTTAAAGAGAAGGGAGGGAGATGGGCCAAACCAAAAAATCCAAACCTGTTGCCATTGAGTTGATTCTGACCCATGGCAACCCCATAGGACGGGGTAGAACTGCCTCATAGCGTTTCCAAGGAGTGGCTGGTGGATTTGAACTGCCCACTTTCTGGTTAGCAGCCGAGCTCTTAACCACTGCGCCACCAGGGCTCCGGAGATGGGCCAGTTGTACTAAATAGCAGCACAGGGAACCTGGCAGTAAAGGAACTTCTGGAAGGTATACGTCTGTTCAACAAGGAGAGTTTGTATTTAGAGAAGAGAGTATGAAAAGACTGTGTGTAGGAAAAGTTCGGAGCTTTTCTGTGCTAAGTTAATTTCTGGTTTGCTAGATTTCCAGGGATTTAAGAGCTGAGAGGTGCTGTGGTACTGTTTAGATTTAAGAGCTGTGGTAGTGTTTAGACTTTAAATCTCACCTTGGGTTCTCTGTCCTTTTCTGCAGTTATTTTTTGAGGACAGTATTGATGATGCCAAGTACTGTGGGCGGCTCTACGGCCTAGGTACGGGCGTGGCCCAGAAGCAGAATGAGGATGTGGACTCTGCCCAGGAGAAGATGAGCATCCTGGCCATCATCAACAATATGCAGCAGTGATGGCAGTGAGGCTCTGTCATGGGCCTGCCCTGGAGTGGTGCTGACCGTGCTGACTGGTCTGTGCATACTTGTCTCCTTTCCTGAGCGAAAATGCTTCTTTTGAGCAAGCTGTACCTACCATCTGTGTTGAGCAGAAAGACTTTTGTTTTACTGAAGACAAATGTCTTTATTTTAGATCCAGAAGGAGGGGTGTTTGCTCTGAATTTGTAAACAAGTCTTCCCTATTCCTCATCCCCAAGCCTCTCCTCTCCAGTTGCCTCCTGCCACCAGCATCCATGGCTCATTTGACACCTTTTTAAATATCTAGGACAAGTCAGAAGCAAACCAGTAAAATGTATATAACTCTTACCTGTTGTCATTCTTTTTCTTTTAAATTTGTTGCTAATCTCTGAAGATGAAGACTTCTTCCTATGATTCTCAGCTGAGCTGAGGGCTTCCAGGGAAAATGGAACAAAATGGTGTTCTTGTGAAGTAGGTTATAAATGTTGACTCTTCTTTTTTTTTTTTTAAATTTTTGGCCCTCTCGAGGACATTTACTTTCCTCACACTTTAGTAGTCTTTCTTCATGTGCCTGTACTATTATATGGAAATGAACTGCTCTGTACTGAAATTTGAAGACCAGATAATGAAAACTTTTCTTGAGAGCAAACATTCTACTGAATCTGTCTACTTCTTGTGACAAACTTCAGAGTGGGTATTAAGTTACCACTTACATGTCTTTAGCTCTTATGTTCCATTGTGCCACAGACTTGCTGTCACATGTGCACCATCTGAAATCATTTTAAGTTTTCATATAATCAAATATCCTGGATTTGATCCTGAAGGAAGTAAGACCAGATTTTTGGATCATATATCTGTTGTATTTTCAGTAATGTGATTTCAGATGGTCATCTGTATTCTCCCACCTTTCTTCTCCATCTTCCCTGCTTTTCCTTTCAGCAGACTTGAAGGTGGGGAGATGATTATTGTTTAAGTACCAGAAATGTGAGTCTTTAAAAAATTATAGTAGTTACAAATAAACAGGGCAGTAAAGGAATCTGATTTTTGTTTGTAGAATTCTTTTCAAGTAGTATCCCACAACTGGGGGAGGAAGCTCAGGACTTTTTTTTTTTAAAGCTAGTCATTTAAAAAGTACACTATATTTTTTGAATGACTACAGTATGGACGATTAAAAAAAAAAACCAAAAACCAACCCCTTTAGAATGGTAGAAGTTAAAGTGGTAACTCACTGAAGTGGATGAATAGTCTTGGATTTTAAAAACTTATGGGAAACTCAATTTGAAATGATTAAAAAAGTCAAGTATTATAAGCTGGTATTTAAGATGCTTGTAAATATTATTTATGTTTTTAATTTTGTAAAATAAAGATTTTTTTTAATCATTGGCATGTAGGTTGGTCTTTTGTAACTATCAAGTGCTAGCTCTGGAACATGGTCGTTTGACTTCAGTGATAGGGAAGCATCTTGTTTATCCACAAATCCTTGCCCCCCGTTTTCCACAAGTTGGCTTGTCACACTTTGTAGGTTTTTAATGAGCAACTTTGTACATGGAATTGCCTCTTCACAGCCCCTGCTGATTGTTGGGCCTTATTAGGAAACCAGTTTCATTTTATTTCCTGGGGCCACTCTGTTATATATGGTGGATTAGCTTGTTAGTGAAAATCTTTTAGACAAATTGAACTTCTTATATCCTCTACTTTGCTCAGGACTGTTTCTAGCTCTTTATATTGGCACAGAAAACGCGGGGATGTAAGAAGTCAGGTACAAGAGCAGATCTTGGATTTTGACAGGGATGCTCACATATACAAAGAGATAAAGGCATTTCACTATAAGATTTGGGATAAAAACAGCATGGGCCAGTGGTTCTCAATCAAGGTGCTTTGGCCTGCTAGTGACTGAGTGAGCTTTACACAGATATCCTTCCAAATTTGGATCAAAACAGGGAATTTATCTTTGTCATAATTGAGGACAGACTCTTAAATGTCAAGAGAAATGTTAAGATTAAGAGTTGAACTCAGTGTTGAGTGGGAGGGGGATTCTGGTCATTACATGGGAGAAGTAAGACACAGCTTATTAAAGTCGTGCTAAAGAAAGAGCACAAACCCAAGGGACTTGAAAGCAGCGATAAGAACAGATATACGTACACCAGTGTTCATTGCAGCCCTATCCACAATAGCCAAAAGGTGGAAACAACCTGAATACCCGTCAATGGATGAATGGATAAACAAAATGTGGTACATACATACAATGGAATACTACTCAACGAGAAAGAGAAATGAAGTCTTGGTAAATGCTACAACGGGACGGAGCTTGAAGACATTATGCTGAGTGAAGTAGGCCAATCACAAAAAGACAAATTTGTATGACCTCACATAAAAAGACAAGAACAGGCAAATGTATAGCAACCAAAGTTTATTAGTGGTTACCAGGGGCAGGAGGGGGAAAGAAGGAGTTATTGCTCATGGAGCACTGACTTCTGGTTTACCGTGATGGAAAAACCATATGGATTTAAGGGTAAAGGTTGCACAGCTAGTTAATGTAATCGATGTCAATAGGTTGTACACCTGTAAAAATACTGTGACATATATTTACAACAACGAGCAGCTGCTGAGGCTGCTTATGTGCGACCAATACCTCATGGGATTTGGTTTCTTGGTTTGGAGGTTTAGGATCATGGTTTCATGGGACATCATCCCAGTTAACTGGCCTATTATGGTGTTTAGTGCTTCTGTTCTACCTTCTAGTTTGTTATGTACTGCCTGGGGTCTAAAAGCTTGCAAGTGGCCATCCAAGGTACAATTGGTCTTTATTCACCTGGAGCAACAGAGGAAGGAGATTTAGGAATAGGAGAAGGAAATGGAATGTGTGGTTCCATAAGCAACTGCCTCCTTTGCCATGAGACCACAGAACTGGATGTACCCTGTTACCATTACTGAACATTTTGATCAAAGATTCTATAGAAGTATCCTGGTCAAAAGGGGAAGACGCAGAGCAGAATTTTAAATTTTCATGGAATCCAGACATTCTGGAGCCACTGAGGCTGAAGGAACCCTCGAAAGTATTGCCCTGACATAATCTTTAAACCTTAAAACAAAAACTCTGTAGTCTTTAAATCAAACAATAGTTTAGCTTAATTTGTAAAGAATGTGGGCCTCGAGCATTGTGCTCTTTTAAGAACTATCTATATGGGATCAAACTGACAATAACAACTTACAAGATAGGAACCTTAGGGGGCAGTGAGTTTATGTTAATAGGGCAAAAACAATTTGGAAAAGGAGGATGAGGATGACTAGACAACTTGAACATAATCAGTGTCACTGAACTGTGCATGCATAAATTGTTGAATTGGTGTATGTTCTGTTGTGTAGATCCTCAACAATCAATTTTGCTAACTGGACAAAAAAGAGCCCAAGTCTATTAGAACTGGCAAGAACTTTGCCTTGTGTATGAGTGCATGTAGGGCTATATGAGGAGCCCTGGTGGCACAGTGGGTAAGCGCTCAGCTGCCAAAGCTGGTGGTTTGAACCCACCAGCGGCTCTGTGGGAGAAAAGACCTTGTGATCTGTTCCTGTAAAGATTACAGCCTGGGAAACCCTAAATGGGGGCAGTTCTACTCTGTATGATAGGATTGCTATGAGTCGGAATAGACTCAACAACACAAGGGCTATATGAGTGGTTATACTCAGAAAGGAATGGTGCTGAAGGGTAACCAAGAAAATGCTAACCATTCGTCCCTCTACATACACTGCCACATCAAGTGTTTCAACCCCATAAGGTCCAACACCAAGCACAAGCTTAGTTGTCTGCCAGTGCTGGTATGAATGGGCTCAGTTTAGATCCTTTAAGTCCAAACAATTAATAAAGACTATAATTTCCTAGTTTATTTGGTAAAAAAACTTTTATGGAGCACCTACTAGACACAAGGTACTAGGGATTAAAACAGTACATAGAAGACATCATCTCTATCCTCACTGGAGTTTACAATCATCAGTGTTGCCAGGCAGTAAATAATGCACACACACAATTTGTGAAATTTTAGTAAAGAAAAGTACAAGACATTGATGTCACTCAGGTTGAGGTTCAGGGATAGTCTTTTTAGAGAAAGGACATTTAAGCTGAGAACTTAAAAGATGAGTACGAGAGAGCTAGGCAGAGGAACAGCATGGCCAAAAATCCTGAGGTGAAGAGGGAACTTGGTGGGTTCCAGCAGCCAAGTTCAGTGTGGCTGGAATCTCCAAGCAAGGATGAGTGTCCTAAGGAGGCCAAGAGACAAAGCTGGTGATCAGGCAGGGCCTTGTAAGCCACATTAAAGATTTTAATCTTTTTTCCTAAGAGCAATGGGAAACTACTGAAAATTTTCTTAAAGCAAGGAATAATAAAATCTGATTTGCAATTTAGAACAGTCACTGCCATATGGACAAAACAAGAAAGATCTGATTCAGAGATATGTTGGGAGGTGTCTGCAGTTATCTGGGCAACAGAAGATGGTGGTTTGGACTACTATGAAGATAGAGAAGTGAGATAAAATTATACTCTGAGCGGGGGATAAAGAACCAAAAATGATTCTTGGATTGCTTGGTTATCCTATCCACTTGGAAGCTTGATTCAACCCCTCAGTGCTTTGGCTCTTTGTGGTTCTCATTTTCTGATAATTAGGGAGAAATAAATGAGAAATATTCATTCAAATTAGAATAGCTTGAAGACATTATTCAGTATTGGAAAGAGAAGAGTTTATGAAGAAATGGAGTTGTGTCATTTCTGTTATTCTTATGCTGTTGGGTAGTTTTACTGCTTAGTTGTGAAGTCTTAATTCTTCTTCTCACCAAAGCAGTAACTGAGGAGCATGTAGGACTGCTCCACCCACAGGCAATGATTTTGGTAAATCACAAAGGAATTGAGAGAAGTGCATTCATAGTTTCTAGTTTAATACTGTTCTGTGCTCAACTGAAAGGGAGTAATTTTTTTTCCCATCTGTAGGTGAAGCTGTTCATTTTAACAAAGACTGAGAAATGGTATGCACTTCTCCATTTAGCCATGCCTAATATTTACTTTTGCAACCAAGAAGATTCTCCTAGTATCAATGCATCCTCTTCCTATAGTGAACTCCGTAAACAGCTATGAGGGTCTAAATTCTACAATATTTCCATTTTAGAGAATAGCACTTTTTAAACTTGACAGCTAGCTCTAACAAAAAAAAATCAGTAAGTCAGATCTTTGAATCCTGTCTCTTAAACCTTTTCCTTCCTAGAGAAAGTTCTTGTTAATGAATTTCATTCTTGCTGTCCAAAACAATCTCAACCCTAGTAACTAACTGAAAAATAAACTGGACACCAGAGCAAAAAAGCCCTCACAATGAATCCCAAAAGAAGATAGTTCAATTATTAGGGAGGAATGTTCCCTCTCAAACCCATCTGATTTTTACGTTCCAGCAATGGTGACAGTACAGAAACATCTGTTCCTGACGTTGTTCAACTGTTTAAATTACCACAGAGGAAAATACACCTCAAGGGAATGCTCATTAAAAAAAAAAAAAAAAAAAAAGAGCAGGGATTTATAATTAAATAGTATAACAGTTCCATTATGCTAAAGCTGGAGTCCAGTGACCCACACTACGCAAAATGAGAATATGGGTTTTTCTTCAAAGAGATATCTGTGGCTTTAATCGAATTCTCAAAGGGTCCTGTGATCCAAAAAAGATTAAGAGCCAATGACACAGTACTTTCTTCCTGAGCTATCTGATCATCATCAATGATTTCTTATAAAACGGCAACGGTAAGACACATTTGAGTTAGTTATTTGTTCTTTGAAAGCTTTAGTAAATGATTTGTCCAAATAAACAATTACATAAAACAACAAAACCAAAATTCTGACCTCAAGTTCAGACACAGCATAAACAGCCAACATGATAGGTAAGGCCTATTTCACATTCAAACTTGAATCTCTGAACGGGCAGAGGGGGAGGACCCAGGTTAACAAAACACAATTAAAAAAATTATACCAACAGCCACAAAATGCAGCTATTCTACCTCTACCAAGAATGACACGTTGACGATTAGGCAAAGTATTCATAAAGGTAGCTTGTGTTTAAGATAACACTTTGGGTGATTAAAAACGTTTCTCCTCTTTGGGTGAAACCTGCATAAGGCTTTAGACAGAGATAGCCAACACTCACTCTGCGGGTTCTTTCTGAGTAACTACTGCTGGCTTTTCATACTCTTCCCTCCAGTAGGAAACCATAATTAAGTCCCAAGAATCCAACTCTATAACCAGGTCAGATTCTGCTGTGTCTAAGGGCAGAACTGATTCCAACTTGCCCCTCATTTGTATTGTTCCGGATCACTGCAAAAGAATCTAGGGATCAGAGTAAATGTCTGGTCAGGTGTGACTG